CCCTGAAATTAGATATTAGAGTCACAGGTGATTATGGCAATTGGTACTACATATACGTGTACGAAAAGTACTAAATTAAGAACAATAGATGTTCATTCTAAAATTTGTAATGCATATTTTCATAATATCATTCATATTTATGTAGTCCATATTATAATTATAAGAAAGTCACTATTCTCTCTCTCTTTTTTTTTACTGTGTTTTGGAATCGTTCTCTGTCTCTCCCCTTACTTTGTGTTTGTTATTTTTGCAACCACTTATTTGACTACTTTTTTGTGTTGCTAGCAACTACTGACTTTCCACTCACTCGATTGTGAATAGTTTTGTATTCCATTGGTGTTACAAAATTCACATATGAAATTTCCAAATTATTTCGATAAATACAATATACCAAACCATAACTGTTGGGATGATATAAGAAGTTGGCTTTGAAAAAAATTACGAAGATGTCGAAACAGAGGGAGCCAAGTCAGCCGCACGAACTTCAGTCGAAATACATTGAGCAACATAGGACGCTTAATTTGAAGTCTATGAAAAAATCGAAAAATCCACCCATTCACGACAAATTTTCAATTGAAATTCTTCCCTTTAATTGTCATCACATGTAGCAGGACAATTTATTACTGTTATACAGCCAATTGACTGTGAAATTCCAACTATCCACTAAATACCCACAAAATATTCACATTTTGCAAAAATGAAGCTGAGATGAGAAATTAATGAGACGACATCATTTGCAGTCGGAATATAGGATTCCTTTCGACTACAAACCATCACCACGGCAATTTGGTTCGAATGGATTGACTTCAAATGCAATGGCAATGTGACTCTAGCATCCTTGCATCAGCATTATCGGGACGTAGTTGAGTAGAGAACATAGCAACAACAATGTCATCTAGTTATATACTCGTACATATGTATATAGTTCTTATCTGCTGCTGTCCGTAACACACGGCACGGCACGGCGCATTGCCCATTGACCTAATAGTTAGCGATAATTGACGAAGCAGTTTTCGAATGCAATCTGTGCCCTGGACGGACGTGCATTCAAACATGAAAAATCTGCGACAAATGCTGTTCGTTCATCTGTCCTAACCAGAAAGGGATTTGATGGATTGATGGTCGACAGACAACAGATTGCACGTAAATCAATTGGTCAAAAAATGTTAAATTTGTATTCTTGTTGCCCGAAAAAAAATTATAAATTCATTACCACAAAAAACATGGTCGTAAATTTTTAGCCAATATATAATGGTGTGTGTGTGTGTATTGGTGGGAGGTATTTCGTCAACGAGAAAATTTACAATATTAAACATTTATGGACATTTAATAGCCATTAACAACTTGAACGTGTTACACAAAATAATTCCCAAAATGTATAAATTGTGGAGGACATTAAAAACTGTTAAATTAATCATGAAATGGCGATAATAATTCTCGGAAGTAGTATATTCCCAAAGAAAAACTAGCAGGATATATTGCTGTCCAATATGGCCTATATATTGGATATGAAAAATCTTAAAAATGTGAAAACAACCACTAAAATGATAAATATCAAAAATATATACTTTAGATTTTACTACTCCATTAGAAAATAAATTCTCAAATCGCTTGCGACTGACCAATGCAAGAAAAGCAATTTGAAGCAATACGTTGATCTGTGGCGATAGTTCGATATGTGGCCCTCGAATTTCTGTAGCCCGCAAACTATTCTACACAAAATTAAATCTATTTTCATAAATAAAAAGATCTATACTTATGAACTAAAAAAATAATAATAAATGAAAATCGCTTATTCATTTCTTAATCATCCTACTCAGGTCATTAGCTCATTTACGCACCAAAGTTTTCTTGGACACTATTTAATATTTTAGCCAGCATCCCTCTGTTTTTTCAACTGGTTTATCCTCTTTGACATGGATTGGTATAGTTTGTATATATAATCTACTGCAATTTTTTCCATTATATATCTACCCTTTCCCGTAGAGACTTGGTACTCGTCAGGGCCTTTTCGTACTCCGCCAGCCGACATTAAAAAACCCACACATTTTCAATCGGGTTAAGGTCCTGATAATTAAGCAATTCCTTGAATATTATCGCAGAATTTTTGGTTTGCCAGATTTCTCCTGTAAAATGAGAAGGTAATCTTCCTTCCTCATTATACCATCGATCCGTACAAGAAGACCACACCATCCAGAGTTATAGAGCCCCAAACCATAAGAGAACCTTCTCCATGTTAAATCGATTGGTTTGGTTTGGTGTGATGTCCACTCAGACGACTGTATTTTGACATTGTAGAGATGGATCACCTTTTGTCACATATCGACGCAAACTCTCGGTTTTATATAGCTTGATCATCATCTATAAACCATGGTCCGGATGATGAAGTAGTCGTTTTTATATCGGTAGTACCGAAGGCCCTAAACGCATTTTACAAATTTAGCATTCCAGGATCTTATTAGGTAAACAAATTATGTTCTAAAGAGGCCCACCCTTTTTCCTATTTTAATACTGAACATGCAAGCGGTAACCACCGCCTTTGAACAAATTGAGGAGGAGTCTGTCAAAGTGGATCTGGCAGTAAAAGGCAAGAAGATGCGCAAGACGTCCAGTAGACTCGGACCAACTGTGCAACTTGAGAACTACAGCTTCGAGGTAATCAAGGATTTTATATACCTCGGTAGCGCCATAAATAAAACTAATGCCATCAGTTTTGAAATTCGGCCAACAGATGCTACTATAGTCTAAGTAAGCAGTTTAGAAACAAGGCCACCTCCCGCCAGACCAAATTCACACTCTACAAGACGCTGACACTAACCGTGCTGGTGTATGGATCTGAAGCATTAGTTCTTGCGCAAACAGATGAGGCAGCTCTTGGAGTGTTTGAGAGAAAAATTCTCCGACGCATTGTCAGACGTATCGAGCTGCAGCGACTACGTTGGCTAGGTCATGTTGTGATAATGGATGACGATGCCCCACCACATTTCATAACGCTTAATTTTTCGGTGGAAGTGTCCGAAAACTCGCCATCTATAAAAAAAAAACGTTTTTGTCATTTGAAGATTATGGCTAACTAAAATGCACATGTATTTAATTGTAGCAGTGCCACCTATGTGTCAGAACGGGTTCTTTTAATGTAACAGATGGTATCAATAATAGTCGTTAAATAATGCTTTGAACCTATCAGCTATAAAATGTTTAAAACCAAAATGTCCTGGTATGTCTATGAAGTTTCCGGCAGTAAATGAATGAAAATAAACCTTTTTTTCCATGTAAAACATCTCATAATTGTCAAAAGAAAATAATTCCTAGGACTCTTAATATTAATAGCAATCCACGTAATAACATTAAAAAATAACAAACAATCTTTGTTTAAATATTATTTAACAGATGTCACCAAATTAATCTGGTCATTTCACAACAAAGAGAAGTCTCCATCCTATTTCGACGAGTAAATACCACTAGGGCTAATTGTTGTTGGTTGTGCGCCAGAAAAAAAACTAAGAATTGTTAATTTACAACGAACAACAAAAATAAACAACCAAATAACTACAACAACAATGAAAAATAATTATTTTAAATATTACCTCGGGAAAAGAACAAAACGAAACTAAATGGCAGACCAGTTGGTTTTCAGCCAATTCAGCAGCAGGACAGTGAGAAGCCAACCAAAAAAATGGAACTCCACAACACCACAGAAAAACATAACAATAACCTCAAACATTAAGAGGGGTGTAGAGATGGAGGGAGGGAGGTAGGGTTGGAGCATGGACTCAGTTGTAAACAATGTTGTAGTTGTTATTGTGATGCTCCCGCTTTCTTTTCTTTATTTTTTTCGGTCACGTCAACACTTCCACACTGCCACTCTTTGTTGTCACTTGTTGTTGTTACCATCTTTCGTTCGTCCATCCATCCGTCCGTCCGTCCGTCCATTTTTGCCAAGAGTAATTTCCTAATTAAAAATGGAAATAAAATGTGGGGATTCCTTCCCCCACTCAAACCACTTTCCGTCTTTCCCCTTACCATGTCATTGTTGTTGTTACAATGTCCCTTTATTATTTGTCTAATAGCCGTGCAAAACAGTTGTTGTTGCTGTTCCATTTACTCGGAATTCATTATGCAACGAAGCAAATAGCAGTAATGATGTCGATGATGACCAGCCGGCAGCAGCTGGAGATTGAAGGCAGAGGAGAAAGCTACTTAGGTTCGTAGGAGTCGTCTCTACTTAACTGGCAAATTTACTTTACTTGCTAAACAAAGTGATAAAAAAGAAGAACAAGAAGAAGACGACGAAGTAGAATTTTTTGAATGACGTGAGTGAATAAGTGAAGTGGCTGGCACCTAATGACCGACCGACACAACTCACTCACTCACTGGCGTTTATCATGCGCCCCTCCATCCATTCATTCATTCATATTCATGAGCAAAATGCAAGCGAAGAAAAATGCTAATGGAAATAAGAAGTTTACCTGCTGCTGTTGACCCAGATCGTCATCGGCGTCAATGCTGAGGCCTCGGCTGGCCTTTAAAGAGTTCTCGAAATTTAAGGCACCAATGGAGAAGATATCATCCAACCACTTTTTATCATCATCGCTTAATTCCACCACATCTGTGGGGGTGTCATTACTGGTGGCGGCAGCAGGAGTGCTGGTGGTGGTAGTATCTTCGGTAATAGCGTTGGTGGTGATCTCCTCATCTACACTTTGATTTGTGGTTTGTTCCTCTGTTGTGGTGGCCTCTTCTTCTGTACCAACCGCCGCCGCCGTTTTCTCCACTTGCTCTCCTTCTGTAGTGGCCACGGCCAACACCTCTTCGGTACCCTGACCTTCTATATTCTCATTTTCGCCAGCAGGTTGTTCCTCATTTTCCTGGATTCTAAGGTTATTCGAAGAGAGACGTTTAGAACTAATGGCTGAGGGTAAAATTTGCTCTTCTAGGTGTTTCATATCATCTGCAGAGAGTTCATTGCGTGAACCTCCATTGAATAGGGAACTTTTAACATACTTATCATTAATGGAATTGGCCCGGACCAGAGGATTACGTGGCGATTGATCGCCATCTTCTTCCAGAGCATTGGAACTGCAATTGGAATGTTGCAATTCGCGTACTTTATCACCCCATTCGGTGCGAAGCCATGGTTTCTCCAAAATTACCAAATGGCAGACAATCTCGGCATCGTTGTCATTGGTGTCCACAGCATTCACGACAATGTCGTATTTTACACCATTAACAATTTCCCGGAAGGCATCGACAATGTTAATGAAATTCATCGACAGCGGCAGGAAGGTCATGGCGATATTTTGGACGCCAATTAAATTCGGTGAGAGATATTCACGTTCTCCCGGATTCAGAACATGCACTAGTTTAATGGGTTCCTCGGAGACTGGTTCCGATGTTTCGGTTATCGTTTCGGGTTCATTCTGTTTGTGCGACGCCATAGGATAGATAAAATGGAATAGAACAAAGGGGAGACATCTCGATTTTAGACAAATTCAAATAATTATTTTTTCGGTATTAGTCAAAAGCCAGGCAAGCATCGAATCATTACAGAAAAAATATTTAATCATGGAAATTGTTGAGTACATATAAATGCATGATTTATTAAAACAAAGCATGGGTATTGGTTAGTTCAAGCTCTAATTTAATTACTAAGATGCAGGCAATAAAGGGTTAAGATATTTATGATTTATATAAAACCCATATTTCAACCAGGAGGCTCAAAAAATCTTCCGAATTCCTTTCCTTAATTGCATCTCCCAACGCCAAGACGCTAAGACTTCGGCAAACAATTTCAGAAGCATTTTGCTTTTGTCATTCCCAACCACCTCCACACCACCTTCATGGTCAATTTGTTGACTTCTAACATCCTTTGGAAAATGTCCTTTACCATCCTATTCTTAGTTATAATTGCTTGTCTGGTTTTCTTTTTCATTCCTTTTTTATTCGAATCGAATAAATTAATTTTTTAGAAGAAAATGGAAAGCTTAAGAGGCCATGTCCCAACTAATTACTTGACTTTGTCAATCAAATGTCCTTTTTTCTATATCCTGGACTCATTTCTGTTCTACTTTGGTTTTTCCCGTTGTTGTTGTTGATGTTGTGAAACTTTGAAACGATGATAAAACTTTGTTTGTGGCAAAGGAAGTGATTAGAAATGTGTCGGAAACAGGATATTGTTTTATTTTTTTATTTATTTTTCTGTTAAGTTAGCATAAAAAGGATAATTATTTGATGTAGTTTTTTTAAGGAGGATATTTTTTTTGAACGAGAAGACACTATTCATTGAGGTTTAATTAAGTGATCGGTGAACTTATTTGGGAAAACTGATTTCATGTTAAGAAAAAAATCCTCTGAACTTCTAAAGAAGAGCCAAATCCAACAAAAGTTGTTCGTGGAAGAACCACTTCGTAGTAAAAGGAGCTTGTTAAATACTGAAAATGACGCGGACCTTTATATGGGGCCTATGTCAAAGCCAAAGTAAAATGTTGCCTCGGTATACCGAATATTTTTTATTAGCATCTATTTTAAATATTGCGAGCTTAATCGTGATTTCACGATAGCCAATAAACTATTACATATGTTTATATATAATTAAATTGTCACCACATCGAATAATAATGAAAACATACCCAAAACACATAAAAATCTTCAAGCTTTAAAGGTTAAACGATTACGCTAACCAAATTAGGCAATTGTTGCTTGTAAAACCACAACAACAACAGAGAAGACAAGAAAATTGATTTCAAGACCAACAACATGTTATGTCAACAAACAAACAAGAAGAACAAGAGACAATTATTCCGAAAAAAAGAAACAAAAATACCAGTTGATTTGCACCACATGCAAGAGAATTCCCACCGAACGCCAATCGAGCGACCGACCACACGCCGAATTCCAGCGTGTACATTTGTATCATTTTGTTGCAATAGCGACGTCTGTCTGCCATTGGCCGGTAGAAAAAAACTCGAATTCGGCTCATCAGCATCATCTCCAATACAATGTTCATTTTCATCATCAATGGCGCCCAACATTGTTGTCAATAACAACAGCAACAGCAACGAATTGGATGAAATGCGGTTTAATCAACTTTTATTTGACACAGTGGCCAAATACCCCACACAACGGTAAGGGAGGTGGGGGGAGTATGGAGGCTTCTTACATTCATTCGTTTGTTATTAAAAAATAATCGATATTAAAGAAAAACTCGAGAGTCATTTGTCTCCAAAAGAACAATTATCTTCTACCACAATTTGGAGTATTGTACGGCAGATTTAAGAGAATCCGCTGACAACAATGTCTGGTAATTTATTCAGGCGTAAATATGGTAATGAGAAGAGGTTACAAAATGTAATCAAATAATCGATGAGATTGTCTACTATAGAAAGAAAAAACTTGGTACTGAATTCCGACGAAAACTTGGAACAAAGGTCCGACGATTTTTTTCCTATAGAAAAAATGGACGAAATATACGACCAATTTATTTCTATACAAAAAAAACTTAAACCGAAGGTCCGACGAAAAACTTGGACTAGAGGTCCGACAAACAGAAAAAAACTGGGACCAAAAGTCCGGCGATGTTTTTCTATAGAAATAACTGGGACTGACGGTCCGACGATTGTTTTCTATAGAAATAACTGGGACCTGACGGTCCGACGATTTTTTTCTATAGAAATAACTGGGACCTGACAGTCCGACGAATTTTTTCTATAGAAAAAAATTTGGCCTGAGGGTCCCACGATTTTTTTTTTTTTTGACCTGATGTTGCAACTTTTTTCTATAAAAATTGAACTTGATGGTGCGACGATTTTTTTTTTCTATAGAAAAAACTTGGAATTGAAGGCCCGACGTTTTTTACATAGAAAAACATTGGATTATAGGGCTTGACAAAATGAAAAATACTTAGACCAAAGGTCTGACGATTTTTTTCTATAGATAAAACTTCGACCTGAAAGGTCTGATGAATTTTTTTTCTATTAATTCTATAAAACTTGGTCCTGACTGACAAAGGATATTTTTCTATAGGAAGAAACTTGGACCTGACAGTCCGACGAATTGTTTCTATAGAACAAAATGAACCAGATGTTTGAAAAAAATTTTCTATAGAAAAAAACTTGGACTAGCTTCACATCAAATTTTTATCTTTAGAAAAATCTTGGACCTGAGGGTCCGATAAATTTGTTCTATAGAAAATAAAAACATGGAATTGACGGCCCGCCGATTTTCTTTTCTATAGAAACAAATTGGATAATAGGACTTGACTCAAAGAAACATACTTAGACCAAAGGTCTGACGAATTTTTTTTTATAGAAAAAATTTGGACAAGATATTTGTAGATTTTTTTCTATAGAGGCCTACGAATATTTTTCTATTGAAAAACAGGCATAACCGATTACTCGGATATAGTTTTTTTGTGTCAAGGACCGTAATATAATATTCCTGCGTTCATTCCACCACCCAATGGGAAGCTGTCTTAACCCCAAAAACCAATCAATTGAATGTGGTGGCTGACGTAGCCGGTGAAATTGACGGCGGTGACGTTGGAAAGTGTTGTGGTGCCAAGCCTGCTACATTGCAGTGTGGTGCAGTGGATTATGGTTATTTGGTCGTGGCGGTGGTGCTGGTGATGGCGAAAAACGCACTGATGAAATGTGCTTAACGGCCAATGAAACCAATACCAACAAAATTAAGGCTGCGAGGACGATGGTGATAATGAAAACTTCAACTCTCCGAAAAAAGAACAGAAGGGAATGAAATGTTTCATCAGCTGTTGAAACGAATAAATGAATGAATGATTTTCGATGTTGGTTGTAGTGGTGGTGTTGGTGGTTACAACAATAATCGGCGGATAATGATCAGCATGACAGCATGCAGGCAGGCGGAGCACCGGACTACATTCAGTTTTAATTTGAAAACTTTTCACATGAAATGATGAGTTTTTGCGGTTTGTCAGAGGCCTTTTAAACGGGTGATAAACGACAAAACACCCACAAATGTCTGTTTCTGTGTCGCATTAAATGTGAAACACCACCGATGAAACAAAAAAAAAACATGAACGGCATCCAGTGATATGACCAATCCAATCCAATGAGTAAATGAATTACATGTCTATATATGGTTGAGGGTTATTGGAATTGGTTTTTATGTTCTTTTGCAAATCCAAATTAATTTTAAATGGAATTGTTGATGAATAAAAAAATTATATATAAACGCATAAACCAATGCAGAGTATTTATAAAAATTCCCCCATGCGAATGTGATAAAATACAAAAATTTCCTATTATTTCCAATTTCCCACCAATCAATTGTGAAATGTCGAATCTGTCTGTTAGGCAGGAATTGCCATTTTTCACAAATGAAATGAAATATATTTAACCAAAAAATTTCGATTAAACAAAAATTCGTTGTTGCTGTTCGTATAATTGGAAAATTATTCAATGAGCCATCGAAGCAGCGGCCGATATAAATAAAAAACAAACGGAAAAAATATAAACCAATCAAATCATCAACAAATGCCGATTACTAGCCAATCAATTATGGAAAACTGGCTGGCTGGCAGGTAAGTGGTCGGAGAAATGCTAGGTTATGTCTCAAATTAAGGTAAACAGAAATATTTCACAAGTCAACGAATTTGTTTATTTAAATAAATTGGCTCGTAGCTAAATAATTGAAGATATTAGGATAGAAGCGAAGTAGATCGAAGTCGATGTAATTTTTTTATGTTATTCTTGTAATTATTTTTCCTAGAGAAAAATCATGGTCTCATTTTTTTTCTGTAAAAAAATTCTTGGACCAGAGGTCCGTCGATTTTTTTCTATAGAAAAAACTTGGACCAGAGGTCCGTCGATTTTTTTCTATAGAAAAAACTTGGACCAGAGGTCCGTCGATTTTTTTTCTATAGAAAAAACTTGGACCTGAGGTCCGTCGATTTTTTTCTATAGAAAAAACTTGGACCAGAGGTCCGTCGATTTTTTTCTATAGAAAAAACTTGGACCAGAGGTCCGTCGATTTTTTTCTATAGAAAAAACTTGGACCAGAGGTCCGTCGATTTTTTTCTATAGAAAAAACTTGGACCAGAGGTCCGTCGATTTTTTTCTATAGAAAAAACTTGGACCAGAGGTCCGTCGATTTTTTTTCTATAGAAAAAACTTGGACCAGAGGTCCGTCGATTTTTTTCTATAGAAAAAACTTGGACCAGAGGTCCGTCGATTTTTTTCTATAGAAAAAACTTGGACCAGAGGTCCGTCGATTTTTTTCTATAGAAAAAACTTGGACCAGAGGTCCGTCGATTTTTTTCTATAGAAAAAACTTGGACCAGAGGTCCGTCGATTTTTTTTCTATAGAAAAAACTTGGACCAGAGGTCCGTCGATTTTTTTTCTATAGAAAAAACTTGGACTTGGACAGAGGTCCGTCGATTTTTTTTCTATAGAAAAAACTTGG